TTCCTGTGGGTGAAAATGCCTCTTTAAATGACATCACTTTACAGATACGTCTCTAAGATACGTCAAGATAGAGCATTGCATCATTAGGCTAGTGGACTAGATAATGTACATAATGTCTCTTCGTTGCCATTTCGTTGATTTGATGGAAATCACTCTCGCCTACTTGTAAATTGCATATAGTTTTTTTTCTTGAAGACTCACGCGTTCTCTTATTGTTTGCGTCCCACAATCAAAGCATGCTATTATTTAGATACATGTGGTTGTAAATATTATTCCTATTGTGTAAACCTTGATGGGTAATTGCAAACAGTGTGTGAAGTTCTCTAAATAATTTACTATTTTAGTTTTATACTGGCCTGTGATTATCTGAACTAAATGCGTTGTTTAAATGAAATAGGAAACTGCGCAAATAAATGCATATTTAAAATTGTTTTACGTGCTTTCAATTCGAAGTGCGTGAGCATCATAACAATTCAGAATGTATGTTAATATATACTTTAATATACACACTCAAACTGGCGCAACTCGTCTATGTCGAAAGTTAAAGTAGAGATGCATCCAAGAATAAATAACTACAATAGAATGCATTTCACGATTGATGTTTTGTGTTTCAATGCTTTGTGAGGGAAATTATATTCAATTTAATGAATTTCCAGTTTGATAATATTTCTTGAACTACAATCGTTCTCCACAAGCTCTCTCTTATTCGTTGTAGCAATGTGTACATGCAGTCCTCTCATATCGGCAGGTGTTACAAGAAATGTACCACGGTACTCAAATTGATACCAGAAGGCATTAAGCCATTTTTTGCATGCATTTTAAAGTGACATTTTCATTCCCCCACCCAATGCCATCGGACAATCGGTAGCAATATCAGTGTAAGGTACTCACGGGTTCACGCCTTTGCACCTGGTGAAGTATTGACTAAAATCAGATATATGTTACCTTAATTTATACAAAGAACAGCTGCACCTTGCCATCACGTGATTAAATGCTTTAGCCACTGACACATGTATAATTGTACGAGCCCTAAAGTGTGCTCACCGTCCACTCTATTAATGTTTACATACATATTTACCATATCACATAATAAGAAATGTATCAATCTCACATGGCAATACATCACATTCAACGAAACCTCGAATGTGGTCTCGTCAATGACGTTGGCAGCTGTTGATATGAATGTGTCACTCGGTGCACGTTGCGTACGTGGCAAGCGGCATCACACGTTTATTAAATCCGTCATCGGCTTACCAATTTTGCTTGAAAGTTGAAAGCTGCTACTTTTTAAAAGATAATGACACATTTTGATTCATTGAAAGACACCTGAAAACGTAATTTGAAAATAAGTACCAGCTTGTTTTGAATAAAAGTAATATCCTGCTTCGTTAACAGGCTGCAATCATGACTCGTTTTTTTATTCAGATGTATAATTTTGCTTTGTGTTTTCCTTCTCATATAACCATGATATCTCCTGTGAAGATACGTTGGTATAAAGACGTTGTCATACGACACACGGCGGTATACATGGCCAAGATCATATATCCTGGCTTTTAGTAGCACCTGTGAATATTCAGGAATGCTGCTATTGTTATATGTGATTAAATTGATACAACAATGTGAAGATAATTTATATGAGTGTACATATCTTTTTGATGGTGAAAATATTACCCGTCTAATGAGAGTTCCATGGTTATTAGCAAAACACCTCAAACAGTCGCAACTACATAATACGCGGAAATCAGAGATAAATGAGAAAATAAAATGCAAACTTTTCAAGATTGTTCATTGACCGTTCTGTAATGAAATGTACGTGTTTTATCCCAAGCTCATTCAGAGAATGTTGACTTAGCATTAGGCGGACTTGATGTATGTAGTCACGTTACCATGGATACATAAAACAACATGATCTTAATAATAATCATTTTCCATTAGTAAAGTAACTGATGTATGTAGTGTGATATATACGTATGTACGTATACGACAGTTCGTATGCTTCTTCTTTTTCGATGTTTTTCCCTGCCGTTTGGTATGGCATTGAATTGCAGGTATTATCGATTGGTTAACGAAATGGGCATTGCTTATTCTGTAGAATGTGATCGCTTTACGACTTTTATAGGTCACGTAGAACATTCTTTTAATTCTATACATTATTAGCATAGCAGATATTGAGTGACTGATGTCGGCTTACACCCAGACATCCAGTCATGTGAACATTTGTTTTCACTGACTCATTTCGTTATCACTACTTTCTGATCGAGTAAAACAAACCAAGAAGTAGCATTTTCTCTATATTGTACACATTTCCAGGAACATTTCAGTTTCACTATCAATAATATTTGAGATTTCGATTGGAATTAGAACACCCTCCTCGCACTAGAGTGAATCACGTTGCAAAAAATCACGTAACCCCAATTTGCTTTAATTGGCAGACTTCCGGCTTTCCATTTAAAGCACGTCAGACTCAATTTCCCCCTACTGGTTTACAAGTTTTCAATCATATAATATTTTGCTTGTCAAATATATTGATATATATTACCCTGGTCACGTGATAAAATTAATGTTAAATTACAGAGTTATTTTTTTTTGTTCTGTTCTCTGTGCCATTCATTTTTTATGTCGGACTAGTCTGACAATTTTCAATTGTAATTAATACAAAATTCTTCATTTAAACAGTATTTCGTATAAAAAATGTATTGGCTAATTAGCCGTTACTGACACCAGATCGAACTGAGCCTGGTTGCCGATTGTATAACATTGTATCGAGCGGTTGGCACTAATTACTAATTGTACCTGCTTAATAAGTTACGGGCACAACTGTTAAATTGTGGTAAAGTAAATTCATAAACACAAATGCCAATAATTTTTTTCGTAATTGCATATATATTTATCATATTTCCATAATTACATCTTGTATAATATATATATATACTTGTTGGAATTCTCAACATTTTCAAAATATCTTTAAAATCATATGATAAGACTTTTAATGACATCTGCAATAGCACTTATAGACACATAAATATCTACCGGTCAATATACTTGCTTCTGGGCGCACAGATCTTCCCATATTCTCTATCGGTAAGACACGTCCCTCTCAGGTTTGCGGCCATAATATGCAATTACAAAGTTTTTATGTAGTAAAGCAAGCTGAAATAAACTTGTCACAAATACAACATAATATTAATTACTGACAAAAATTTCACTAAAAATGCTTATTGCAATACACTTTAAATGATATGTTTAATTAACCCATCGTTTTAGACATAGCGTAGTGTTTGCTTCTTTTTTTCTAACGGTATGAAATACTATTTAAATAAGTATACCCCAGGGATGCATGGCAGTGACATTACCATCTGAATAAAATATCTAAATGGTCACTCCTTTGTGATTTAACACAAAGGATATAATTATTAAATATTAACGCCGACCTCCAAAAATGACCTGATAAAAATAATCCAATGTGCTAACAATGTCATGACCGTGTCGGATTTTTTTAATTTCACGTTTGCTCACAACGTGTTGCAAGTCGACTGCGTGTATTATTTTTTTTACTTTCTTCACATATTCGCCTTAGATATATATTGCATTCACTACCGCCTCTAAATACTAAAACACTACAAGTGTGTGATATATTACAAATGAAAGCGAATACGACCTATAAGCAATATGTTACTTATGAATGTCATTATTAATATTGACGTAGGTACAACAAACAGAATGACACAGAAAATAACAGTGTCACTCTCCATTGTATCAACATAAGAGTAACCATGGCAGCTATTCACTTTATGCACACACGTCAATCAGAACAGAGTACATACAATAAATGCATTTTCAATTAATCTAATTAACAAAGCGTCCAACTTATTTACAGTCGTGTTCATTATTGAGATAGGAGTATGAGTAGCACTCATTGCCACAAACAATTGTGACCAAAGACGAACGGTTGCTTTAATATTGATTGTTTACATAGCCTACAGTTAAACACCGATCAATTCTCGTTGTCGTTAACATATCTATAGCAGCGTGTGACCATGTGTCTTGCAAGCATTAACTCAACAATTGTGGTTTATGTTCGAGAAAAACAATCTTAACATCGGTATTTCATTCTCCTTAAGCTGTACGTTTTGTTACATACTATTCTACCTGTTTAATAATAGATCGCGAGGAATGGATTCTTGATTGTTGTTTTTAGTATGAAGTATTTCAGTATTATTGGGACACAGCGTAATATGTCAAAGTAAACCTGACCCTCGTAACGTATTTTCTCAATTGACATAACATCAATTCCATTTCATGCGTATATTACACCTATATACAAGTAAGTCGTACCATGAATATTGCCTGTGAATGCTTGATACTAAATAACTACACTATGCCTACCTCACATTTGTCATGCTACATACGTTAATACTACTGATAAATCTAACATATATTTTTTAGTTAACTGTAATGGCAGTGAAGAGTCAAAATATATAATAATAATAATAATAATAATAATAATATAATAATAAAATATAGCACACGTATCTGTTACGAAGAGGGGAACATAGGCTATTGCTCACATTTAGTATGAGAAAATAGTGATAATAATGTTGTCATAAAGTTTCTGTTACTAAAGGCGTTGCAGAATAAGTACTTGTGTTTTACTAATATGACCATTGAGCATTATGGAAACCACGTGCATTGATACGATATGTGTGATAGCCGCAATGTCTGGTGGGAACTCCAAATTATATTTTAGGCTCTTGAACCAAAATTCGAAATAAAAACAGTTATTCAAGAAACACTACTGCGGCAAAATGAATGTTTTAATTCTTTTTTACGTATCCTAGAGAGTGCCACTAAACTGGGTCGTGCTAAAAACATACATAAAGAACAAAATATTTTGATAAAAGAGGGGGTATAACTGAAATGTTTAAATATAAGGAAAAAAACACTTTTACATCTCAAGCAATCAAACTATAAACCTGACTTGCCGATACAAAACTGTTATATTAACTGTGTATATCGTCTTTCCCGCTTTCCTCTCGTTGTAAATACATATCTGCCAATTCTTTATCGCTGAGCTTTCCATCGATTACCGTGTTTTGTCGTTTCCCAAATTCGGTAAACAAGTCGCCAGTCAGGGGATTTTGCCTTTTGGCGGAATCACCGTTGAAAGCGGGCTCTCGTCTTTTATCAAATACTTCGTAATCTAGTGGATTGCGTTGACGTTTACTGGTAACCATCTCCCCTGTGTCTTGATGTAGGTGTTGATTAGCTTTGATGTACTCGTCTCTTTGCATGTCATCCTCACTTTTCTCAGAATAAGGTGGTTTATTTTCGCGACGTTTGCCAAATTCCGTAAACAGATCGCCAGTGAGCGGGTTTTGACGCTTTCCAAACTCAGTAAATATCTCACCAGGCAGGGGTTGTCCGCGTTTCCCGAACTCCGTGAATAGATCACCTGTGAGAGGATTCTGTCGCTTGCCGTCGTCCTTGAGGCTGGAGGGTCTATTTCGTTTCCCGAACTCTGTGAATAGATCTCCCGTAAGGGGGTTCTGCCTTTTCCCGTGACTATCAATATCAGGCGATTTCATCCCACCTGACGTACGCTTACCGAACTCAGTGAAAAGGTCACCCGTCAACGGATTTTGTCTTCTCTGAAGATCAACAGCTCGTTCGTTATCACCGTATTGTGTTAGCTCATCGTCTGACAAGGAACTGTATCGTATACCCTCAATCTCATTAGCTTCTTTCTGTTTTCTTATCGCCGTGTTAATCTGTCGGTGAACATAGAGAAAAACAGAATGTGATAATTAAATTGGCAGTGAAGTGAAAAAAATATGGGCACTGAGTACGGTGTTATCCATCGATACATCATATTGATATGGTATACGTAAACTAAAAACCGTTTTACTAAGATATGTGAACAATTTTAGAAAGGAAAACCTTTTCACGTTCAATTAAAATCTTGCTGTCATTCAAGGTGAGAAGAACAGAAGTGTGACTTTTCCGACCACATTGTGAAGTCACTGAAGTGCCATATGTATAACACATAGTATATGTGATTTTTACGACATTGTAGTCAATAAACCGGAAATATTGCAATGGAAAAACACTATGACATTGTTGTAAATTATAAATTTAACACACTCTGTTGAACCATAGGCAACGCCTATATCAAATCATTCACTTTGGCTGCCTAAGATTCAGCCAGAAAGCATCTTCCTCATATCTAGTGCACATTATCTGATGGAAACGCGAAGAAAATTCAAATTAGACAACTCGCAAAGACCGTGATCATGTATATAATTACTGGGTTTGTCTGATAGAAAGTGAAAGAAAGACTGCCATAGTGTGTTCACAAACTACATTTGAAATCACGCACGCACGTCTATTATTAGGCCAGATTGCATTTAACAAAAAACGGAAATCAAAACTAAAATCAATCCAGACATCTATTGATCCTCCCGGGACCGTGTATGTACAGGCGATAGTTTCATATTGGCATGAGCAATCCATGATTACGACAAGACAAAATGAAACCTTGCGACTTTCACTGAACTACAGCCAAACAATGTTGAACTTCGTTATTTGTTCTCATCTCAACCAAGGTGACGCATGTTTTATAATCTATGTAATCTTGAGCTGCAGATGTCAATCAATTTGAGTTCTCGCCTAGGGATAATTCTCAAAAATAAGTCTCCGTGGAAATGAAGAAAAATCTAATTAGATTTTCTCGACGTGATTGAAAGCACCAAAATAGGTTGTTTTAGACAGCTAACAGGGCACAATATGCGGTGAGACAGCAATAAATATTACTCATAATTATAATTAAAATGATACAAGCTGCAAGAACATGGGGAAACCTTATACACTAGTCAAGAAAATAACTGTAGAGAATAAAATGTAGTAATTAAATAATTTGAACTAATTGATTAATTAGTAAAAATAACCGTTAACTGTCATGTTCAATTATATTTTCATGTCGGTATAACGAATGAAAGATGGGCTTCAAATAATATATATTATACATAGCCAAACATTACTTATTAATATAACACCTGTTAACTATGTTGTGAGAACACGTTACAATCTGCCAGCTGTGATTATACATTCAAGCTTTTGTCTCATCATTGCAAGTTGTGGTCTGATAACATTGTCAGCAACAATATATGGGATTATTAGTCAGCGTATACAATTTGACACGTACAAGAATATGCTTAGAAGCCTTTGCCACTATTGTTAACTGATGTCACCTTGCTGGATACACCAACAAATATATTCGATATCAAAATTCGCATGCAGACGCGTACACATTTATTTATGCTCAAATACATTCATCGTCAATGTAACTGCCGAAACCACACTTTTCCACAAGCGATTTGCTAGCATAGAAAGAGTAACGAGTATAAACACCTCATGTGTGAGACAGATCAAGGACATATACTTGAAACAACCAATTACCCGGAGGTGCCTAAGTGCTATGACTTCGCAGAATATTTGTAATAATGGAAATATCACGCTATATACACTATATAACATATATTCCTGTAAAAAAACAATTCCCTGTCAGGTAAATTATCAAGTCTTCGGGAAATTGTTACTGATACTCTCTTTTATCATCACATTTCAACAATCGCTCTTTTCCACACAATGCTATCATACCTAATTATGGCAATGTCAAGTCTATAACTAACATGTGCACGCGTGAAAAGATCTAATCATGACTCCATTGTTGGAAGGGTCGATTGGGTGTCGACACATACGTAGCAAACAAGCTGATTGACACTAAGGTATCTGCACTAACGTATACTCCCGGCTACACGGCAACCCTGTCAGTGATTTTACTGATTAGCTAAATACAATACAAGTGATTACTTTTCTACCATTCATCCAAATCAAAATGTTATGCTTTCGAGGTGGAGAGGTGAGCTATACATTATTTGGATACCGCTACACCTCAAATTGCACACTAAACGACGATCTTATTTTAATAAAGGTGAACGCCGATAAAACAAGTAGTTATTAGCTAATTAGATAGCATGAAAAAAACGGGCATTTTTAACAAACTGGAAGACGTTTGAGTATACGGTACATCAAACCGGTGACGTAGCATGCAATAATAAACGAACATTCGGCCTATTGATTCTGTTTTTCTGATGCATTTCTTTCATTGTGGCCGTTATTGATTGTTAATATAGGCTCGTGTAATTAAACATTCAGAAGTGAAATGTGTACTAATAATACGACATCTGTATGCTTCTATGCTAATGATTTATTTATTATGCTTATATGAGATAAGATGATAAACAAAAACGCAACGAAGATGTTATCTACTCATATTTTATAACATCACATATGAAAGCAATGGTGCTGATTAAGATCTCTCTACCTGTAATGAAGCGTACCGTGTTTCTAATCACGCAATCTTTTTTAATAAGCACCCACCGTGAGTACATTTTGTATGTGCGAAATGGGAATTATGTCCTTGTATATTTTGTATACAACTACAAAAGATGCAATGGAATGATAAGTATATCAATACGGTGATGTACACGTTCTCAATAAAAACACATTTTGCACTGTTCTCCCAGTCACAGTTTTATGACTACCAACTATCTTCACATAATATCACTATTGTTACATTTTTCGTTCGATACATCAAACTAGCGGCATGTAAACACGTGTCGAAAACTTTACAATATAAACCGGCTAAGCTCATTGACTCATTTAGTTGTCTATATTCTGAGATTCCTACCACTATCGTACGTGAGGGCGGACAAATATCATGAATATTAAAGAGTCGTGCGCTATGTGTGATGTATTACATAGTGATATGTATTATTCTGGTATAATTTAATATAATTCAACGCAGGCTAAGATGTTAGACTTATACTTAAGATAAAGATAAAGAAGCAATATTTGAATAACACGTCCTGGGAATACAGTAATTCCATTTATCGTAATGTATCGCAATGTAAGACGTATTGGCTAAATTGAATAAATATGCTAAGACACGTGTAGTCTGGATTTGCATACATTTGCATATAATTCAAAGTAAAACGCATAGTAGTTTTGTTTTAGTGAGTATCGAACGAATGCAGTTTTTGTCAAAACAGTGTTTTCATTTTACGGTAAATCGTATTCTGTTATTATCATGTAATTCAGGCAGCAATGCTCTACAATACTGCAAATCATCCTAATCGCCCTTTTAATCAAATATTAACCGAATAAAACATACTCTATTACAAAACTGCAACAGTTTTCTCCTAAAGACTTATAATAAAATAATATGTGTTCAAAGTTGACAGTGATGAATAATTGAATCATCTAAGTTTGTTATTTCTATCACTTGTGATCAGATATATATATATGCATATGTTATTGGATAACATATTATAACGTGGTAAATATTGTAGTCAAGATATTGAAAACTATTGATTTGAAAAATCAGACAGTACTATGTTTGGACTTGGCAACGTACCCCTCTACTAGTAGATAAGTAAAACCATACAAATGCATCGGATGTTATAACCGGAAACAGATTGTATATCAGTCGACAACGCCATATGGCAATCCATTTATCAAAATATTCGTTTTAACCCACACTGCTGTGAATATTCAATGAACGCATTTTATTTATCTCATTTCATTTCATGTCAGTGTCCGAGTATGTCGTCAAACCCGCCATTGTTGTGCTTGAATGCCTATAATAATTATTATCCAGCTACAAATTGATCACTATTTATCACTCTACAAGATGGCAGGTAAATGATTGATTTTTTCAAGTACTAGAATATCCTGACAACTTTGTATTCATTTAGTACATAATTGTGTAATAGTGTTCAAAACCGGTGATCGTTCAAAACTTCTAACCAACCTGATGCAATCGAACATGCGCACGACGAAACGCATAATGATTTGAGGAAGAATAAGACATTCCGCTAACTGAGTTTGGATTTTGATCTGATGCATCAATAGTTAATTAACTGATTATATGATTGAGCCGCAATTATTATTACAGGCAAAGTTTATGCTAAATAAAATTATAGAAAGGCATATAAGGTTAGCATAATTAAAACGGTTGTATTTTATTGTTTGTACGTTGTGAGATAGTATATTATTCAAATTTTACCTGTTATTCGCAGCGTTTCACAAAGTGAGAGATTAATAATAATTAATAATAGTTAGTACTGTGATTGGCAGATAACATGTGCTTATCATAATTTACTTTTTCAATGCATGTATGCACACTTGGTAATTAAAATATTCATTTGCTCTTTTGTGTTTGCTTTGAAATCACTGCTCTGCAAATATGTAGTGATAAACATACAATAAATGTTTATACAGATTATCTATATCTATATACACAAATGTAGTTAAGAATTCACATTTTTCCAACTTTATGTAAAGTGACTATTGCGCTCATCGTGTCGTCAAATTATCTAGATCATCCCGCCAATCACGCTGACTACAGAGTGCTATGACGTCGTGAGTTTGATTACGTCAATGAAAACAATGAACAAATTGATGCTTCCTAATTCGCGTTATTCTGTTAGCATATACGCCACATTGTTTGTCCTTGTGCATTGTTGCGAGTTTGAAAATACAGTAATCCGATTCCGATTTCAGATTCTAAAAAAAAGTCAATTGTTTAGCCTCTCAACGAAGAAGTGCCTATTAGCTCTTTGCACGTGATTTTCGGCTCAATTACGTCATCAACTCATGTGGTTCGTAATGCGCATACGCAAATTTACGCTAGGTGAACATTTTATCAGGATTGTGAAGTATTTAGATGAGAAATATACGTGTTGTGACAGATAATATTTGAACTACTTTAATGAATGGAACACGACTACCATCGAGCTAGACTTTAAAAAATGGCGTATCCGTGACGTACTCGGACACAAATATAACGTCACTATCTACCAGGCTACAATTGTAATTGTACGGATAATCACACAGTAGATACGCAGACAGTCTATCGCAGTGGTGTATATAACAACGTTATTGCACATCAGTTTGTGATTACTTCAAGAGCAGACTAATTTAAAACCGCATTGGTATGACTGAAACAACGTGTTTTTTTTTTTACTTTTGTTTCATCGTTAACATTTTAATGAAAACAATCCACTACGTTTTAAATGTTGTACCCTACTCCTCGGCACAAAATGGCAGGTTTGAATTGAATATTGCCAGAAAACATACATTTTGCAGTATATCTTTTACAGGTAATAAAAGCGGTCAATATATCTTTCGTGATAACGTGAATGCAAACAAACCGTTTACACACAATGATGTGTTACATGTTGTAGCAAGACTGAAAGCTCCACAAACCATATTAGTTTGTTTTGTACTATTATTACCAGCACTTTTATGTTTGCGACAGCCGCCAAGGTCAGTATTGGCTGGCTCAGTCATTCGCCTTTAGGTCGAAGATAAATGACTTTGCTAGTAAACAAAATACATCACACGTAGTAATCTATTTTACTTTCTTCAACTTAAATAGTTTTTCGTGAAACAAATCGTCATTGTCGCATCATATTACCATCATGGAATCTTCGATAACACTGTGTTATCAATGTGGTCTGTATGTGTATATACTTGTAATTACAAACGGCCTTGTCTAATTGTGGCACGATATAATAGAGATATATTTAGTTTCAAATATTGAGAGAGCATTATTGACAATGAACTGTCGACTATGCGCGCACAACAACTCTATGATTATTGGATTTACTGATTGATGATAACAGAAGCTTCTTAATAAAATCTTAATAACAATTTAGTAAATTACTTTATCTGCTCGTTTGAAAGAGGTTTCATATTGAAAAATAAATTATTTATATTAGATGCCACATCGGAAAACACTGTGAAGCAAGCATTTAAAATGTCCAAACATAATTTGAAATAGCCTGTCACGGCAACACATACGAAGTTTAGATTTTTGAAATTAAACATAGCCTGCACATATAAGCGAAAAAGAAAAGAAATTTCCATGTGTATTTGTTCTATTTCCCATATGGAGTATGGTATAAGCAAATAAAGCAAATTCATGATTTTAAAACTTAATTCTTCTAACGTATAGAATAGAATAGAATAGAATAGAATAGAATAGAATAGAATAGAATAGAATAGAATAGAATAGAATAGAATAGAATAGAATAGAATAGAATGGAATGGAATAGAATAGAATAGAATGGAATGGAATGGAATGGAATGGAATGGAATGGAATAGAATAGAATAGAATGGAATAGAATAGAATAGAATAGAATAGAATAGAATAGAATAGAATAGAATAGAATAGAATAGAATAGAATAGAATAGAATAGAATAGAAAGCACTCTACTTTGCTCATTACAGAAACTATGATATATTTTTGGTACTAACAGTGTAACAAGGTTGCATTAGCACACAACCAGTGTAGTTATTAGTGTCGACTCAGAGATATGTTATTCGTTGGTAATGTAATAGAAATCAGGAAACTCGTAAAAGTATACGTCATTCACAACTTTGTCCCACCGGATGCGATTAAAAACTATGTGTGATTACTTATATGACATGGGTGTGCGTACCACTGTGTTATTTAATACACCAGTAAAGGTTATAGACTTCCGGTTATCTGACTTACACACATTTCATGACAACTAATAATAATTGTCCTTTTTTGGTTTTTGCTTTACGTCATTGTTATACATAAGTGACTTAATCCCACTGACTAATCGTGAGTATTAGATTTTAATTCAAAACTAATAAATTTGTAAAGTAAAAATAAACACACGTGAAGATGAATAAATAAAAAAATGCAAATGTTACTGTGTCGTCTGTCGGCCCGAGCGATATTCTGATACATGTTCCAGGGTCGTGTGCATATTGAGCTACGCATTAGTATTGATGATATTATAGTCGCATATAAGAAACTTGCAGCATTGCCGTTTGGGGATTCGAGACAATTCTATGCACAGTGCCTCGCCTTCGGCTTTCTCACTATCAAGATCAAGTCCTGTCTATTAGTGCATGGATATGTGGGTTTTGTGAATACTACATTGTACATTTCAATTGGTCCACGTTAACTGTGTCTTAACATTAATAGTAACGACCCCCCCCCCCACACACACACACTCACCCAAACTTGTTCCACAATACATGTATGTGTTCGTGTCATGAGGGAACTACTCTAAAAATAGCCTACTAGATGTCCACACACCCTGTTGAGCAAAGGTCAATAAAGGCAAATGTTTACCCCAACTTGTCAACACCATAAACACACAGAAACAAACATGCGCACTGTTTGAACTGTCGTAGTGTACGTCTAGGATACATTATCAGAATCACGAAAATGGCGCTTGATCCTCCATCACTCTTCGCAACTCAAGATCTATCAGGACGACTGCATCGGCATTTTGACTGAGGCTGGTGTACAGAAAATCACCGCGATTGTAAATGTCCAATAGGTTGCGTAAGAAAGATTTAATAGCGAACTTAATAAAGCGCACCACAGGAACATAGTCATTAAATATTAATATAACTGCGCCAACCCCGTGGCTGCAAATTAACTGAAATTAACCCAACGCAATAAACATTGTAATTTTAAATTCGTTTTTGATTATTATACTATAACACACAATAGCTTATTTTAATATAGTCATGCGTGCCATGTCATTTCATAGAAGTATCCCGAGTGATCGTAATACGTGGCGGAGTAAATCGATATAGTGTTGTATTTAAAATATAATAATGATATGAAATTGAACGCTAAGAATGAAACATTGCCGAAAATGTATTTTAGACTGGAATGGGTGCTTGCGCTCATGGAAAATTGCTAATCGATGGGAAACTAGATTCATTTCACAACATACAATGGAAATGTTAACAATTGCTTAGATAATTAGCAATAAAGATAATATTTCTTCAAACAGTCTCATATAATCAATTTCTGATATACATTCGGTAAACTTACCAGGAATTTATCAAACTACGTGAAAACAACTTAACAGCTTACATTAAAATCAGGTTTTGATTGAAAAAAAGTGGAACAAAAATGACATTAGGCACATTTGCCGCGGTTTCACTGTGAAAATGAACAGTCATTGAAAATTGAGGTACATGAGGGCACATCGCACCGACCCAATTCGGCGGCGTATTTCAACATTCAGACAACATTTGTTACAATATGAATGAGCCATTTTATTCTTTGACAATATGGATCACTTTTCAAATTTTGAATGCATCTAAATCGGCACTCCAACATAGTAAACAGACACATTGTTGAGATTAGCTGATAGAGTGGAAGCCTCACTGACTTTTATACTTGTAGCGGGTCACTCATTGCAATACTACCGAAACGAGATCTTCAAAATTTCAACAATCTAGCAAAAACACATATTAATGATTGGGCCAAGTGGTCGACCCATATTTCATTTTCTTTTCGACGAGCCGAGTAGTGCCCCGGATACCACGACAGGGAGTAAATGGTAACAGGACATGTTTTAGTGGAGTGATAATTAATTAGTCGTGCGCTACACCGACGTGTTAGATATGTACAACGTGATAAAATTTATTCAAATAAAATATAATTTTTCTTTGCCAGCCTTGTCGGAAGATACAATTAACATGCATCTCAGTAATTAATATAGCATAGATCAGCATACTAATCATGAAATTAACAAATTTATCGATAATGATACTAGCAATGGGTTATTTAGTGTTGCCGCAACGGTGCGGTGGTAGGCGCCGCTGTTTTTAACAACTATCGGCGGAGTTCTGATTGTGATAACCATGGCAAACACTGCCATATTCTATTACAGCAAGTTTTTATGAGTTAAGAGTTTTAGAGAGAAAACGATTTGTCGTTTCGTATATTGAACATTCATTTGGAATAAGTTTTTGGTGGTTTTAAATGTAACGATTTCACTCAGTACGAATTTTACAATTACATTTATTGTCTTGAGCAATAATCAAATTCCGTCTGTTCCGTCTTTATTTTGTGAGAAATCGTGTCCAGGATAAATTTTGCTTTGCCTGTTCACTCAATTTGACTGGTAAGTAGGTTGCTTGACCTGTGTTATCTAAAAATGTTTCAATGGAACGTTCTAACCGCAATTGTTATTCGTGGCATAACTCGGTAATTGAGAGGAACTTTCAGACGCGCCACTCCTTCCACATTTTATTCGACAAATATTTGACTTTGCCAAAGCGGAAGGAAGGGAGTTATTCGTACCGTCTGGTTCATTACTTACATCGATTTACTAGTTTTGATGAAACATTCACAATTTCTTAGTAAACTCACTCTACAGTTGTCAACGGCTGCACCCAAACACATACATATTAGTACATGCACGTATTAAAAGGAGACCATGCAACTATCTTGTTCTCTCGTCGGATTGACAAAAAAGCAGTGATTCTGTTCAAATTACCCGTCAAGTACCGGCACTTTGTAACAAGTGTATGCACTGCTGCGAGATACTCGGCATATATGTTCTATAACGCACCTACCAACGCAATACTCACATGGATGCAAAAATGGGACCCCCAATAAAAATGAATAGGTTCAAAGTCCTTACCTTCGATAATAACGTCCGGACCTCACCCCAATCGATGTTATCCGCCTTCGTTGCTTCGAGCAGGACACCGTGTTCGCAAATAATCAGAAAACATACTAAAGTCAGTATACTACGAATCATGTTTGTCATGATCTTAATAAATAGCTGCTTATAGATCGGCCACCAACCTCAAAGTGGACGTTACACAGATCTCTCTCTCCTTTAAATAGTGGTAGTGTGTCGTGCAGGTAGATCAGCCCACTCAAGTGAGTAATCGTACAATATCACCCTCCGGTATAAAATTGAGGGCGCTCGCACTTGTTGTCTTATCCCATCTAACAAATTCCATTGTTGAATTTTTTGAACATATTACTTAAAGGATGGTTTGGAATCTGACAGTAATAACCAACATTTATTGAACAAATGACATTTAGTATGACGAAAGTCGTATAGAGGTAAATATCACCAACACACAGTATTATACCCCGCACATATGCATCATCCG